CATGAAAAACAATGAGAGAGATTCCTATGTTCTGCACAGAAGTGTACCCATGACAACACTAAGACAGTGGAAAGATCTAGCTGGAGCAAATTCTGCACAGTATGATCCCATCTTTGTAAAAACAAAAAAATTATATGTGAATGTAAACAGCCTATGTTCTTATATAGACTGTGTACAGGAAAAATGTATGATAGAAAATATTTCAAATTATTAACAGTGGTTAATCCGGAGGCATGGGAGGACGGTGCTATTGGAATTTTAAAAATTTTATTTTAACATTTATTTGTACATTTTTGTGGGGTATAGCATATTGTTCCAATACATGCATATACTGCACAATGATTCACTTAGGGGAGACAGCATAGTTTTGTAGCCATTAGTCTACCACTTCTCCTCTACTGGAATATTTTATAGTATGAACTAAAACAAAACAACAGGCCCTCCTTTTAAAAAATTGCTAACTTAAGGTTAATTGAACTCATATGACTGTTTTCACTTATGTCAATATATACATTTTATGATGATTTAGTAGAAGCAAAAATGATTTCTTAAACTTTCCTTGTTATGAGAAATAAACATTTAGAAAAATTTATGGATGTTGATGCAGCAACATATTCTTGGTAAGTCTCATTACTTAACAGCTTTTCTGGTGCATGCAAAATATTTCTTAAATTGTTTAAAAAAATCATTTACCTGCTCGAATTTTGACAGCTTGTGGAGTCAAACGCCTATTAATATTGTTAATGAGTACTTCCCGTTCATTTTCATTCAAATCTAAACTATCCAAAATAGATGGGTCTCTGATTTAAAAAAGGAAACAACAAAAACAAAAGGCCAAGGTTACATTACTGATGATTATGAAACAAAATACCATGGAAAAATGCACATAATAACAAAGGTTTAGTGCCAGAATTAGAGTTGGAATCTTAGCCTTTCACTTTAATAACTATTTGTTTTTGGGCATTTCCAAACTACGGTTTCCAAATGTGTAAAATGAAGATGAAAATAGTACATCTCACAGGATTGTGGCATTAAATGAGATAAGGGAAGTAAAGCCCTTAGCAGCATATGACAAACAGAAAACACATTAACTGATTATCATTAAAATAAATTTTATTTATAATTTTTTGTTTGTTCTCATTTTTTTGGTAGCTGGCTGGTCCAGGGATCCAAACCCTTGACCTTGGTGTTATAATACTCTGCTCCCACCAACTGAGCTAACCAGCCAGCCCAAAAGAAAAATTTTAGAAATGTGACTGCAACAAGCAATTTAATGCCTTCCAATAATACATCTGACATGCCACTATAATTAAGCATTTCCATATAATTAGCAGTCCCTGCTTCAAGGAGTTTATAGTCTNAGCATATGACAAACAGAAAACACATTAACTGATTATCATTAAAATAAATTTTATTTATAATTTTTTGTTTGTTCTCATTTTTTTGGTAGCTGGCTGGTCCAGGGATCCAAACCCTTGACCTTGGGGTTATAATACTCTGCTCCCACCAACTGAGCTAACCAGCCAGCCCAAAAGAAAAATTTTAAAAATGTGACTGCAACAAGCAATTTAATGCCTTCCAATAATACATCTGACATGCCACTATAATTAAGCATTTCCATATAATTAGCAGTCCCTGCTTCAAGGAGTTTATAGTCTGGCTTGAAAAGAACAAAAACATGGAAAAACTTGTAAAAATAAAAGTACAATCCAAAGGCATCAGGACAGGAAGGTATTACTTGCAGTTAATAGTATCAGGAAGGGATTCATGCAGAAAATAGCATTTCATCTGACCCTCCTAAGTGCCACAGATAGAGATCATAGTCTTAGTCACTGGCAGGTTTGATGAATGAATATAAAACCAAAAACTGAAGTAATGGCTAAAAGAATGATAGTACTTCAACAAGCAAAGGTAGAACTGTGGTAAGAAAGTTAATGATAAAAAAGGAATGGCATGAGCAAGCACCAGGCTTAAAAAAGCATGGGTGGGGGCTGGTTGGTTAGCTCAGTTGGTTAGAGTGTAGCCTCATAACTCCAAGGTCACGGGTTTGGATCCCCACACTGGCCAGCAGCCAAAAAAAAAAAAAAAAAAAAAAAAAACCAGCATGGGGTCTGCTTAAGGAATGAAAGGTAAAAGAATCTGGGTGGAGGGAACTTTCATTCAGCTAATACAAAGTAACAAGACAAGTCAACAAAAATGCCTACAAAGTAACAAGAAGACAAAAGAATGGAAAATGAGCAAATGAGATGAATAGATGTTTCAGAGAAGAAATAGTCAATAAACATGAAAAGCTGTTTACCAACAACCAGAAGCATGCAAATAAGATATAAGGGTACTCAAAAAGTTCATGGAAAAATAGAATTAAAAGATAATACAAATCTTTCCATGAACTTTTTGAAGTACCCTTGTACTATTGTAATCCATCAGACTGGCAAAAGGAAAAAAACCTGAGATATATACCAAATGTTGGTGAGGATGAGGGGAAATAGGAATACTTATATAATTACTAGAGGAAATATAAATTGTTGAATCAATTTGGAGAGTACTTTGGCAAAACCAAGTTAGTTTAAAAATATGTGTGTGTATATATATATAATCAGTCCTACAGCCCCAAAATTCCACTTCTAGGTATTTACCTTAGAAACTGTCAAAACATGCACACATGGAGACATAGAGGAAATATAAATTGTTGAATCAATTTGGAGAGTACTTTGGCAAAACCAAGTTAGTTTAAAGATATGTGTGTGTATATATATATATATAATCAGTCCTACAGCCCCAAAATTCCACTTCTAGGTATTTACCTTAGAAACTGTCAAAACATGCACACATGGAGACATGTATATGGATATTCATTATAACATTGTTTGAAATATGGGACAAAAAGGAAAATTACTTAGTATCTCTTAATAGGAGAACAGATAAATAAAACATTCTCACAATGAAATACTGTATAGAAATTAATATGGATGAAGTAGGTATACATATATCAATTTGGAGAAACGTTGCTCAATTAACAGCCTTACAAGTAAAAGTGCAAGGTACAGAAAGATGCAATAAATTAAATTAAAAAAAAAAGATTCTGCATGTACTTTATAGATATATATATATGTAGTAAAACCATAAAAACATAAATAATAATGATACATACTAATAATTTCAGAATAGCAGCTACCACTGATGAGTTACAGGAATGGGTGTGAAGAGGTAAAACATTGTTTCCAACTAGCTCAGAAATTTTATTTCTTAAAAGAAAAAAAATATGAAACACACGTGGCAAAGAATTAGCATTAGTTAAATCTGGACAGTTGCTACATGAGTGATGAAGAGTAGAGTGTTAAGTGCCAAGGCTTAGTGGTAATGGAGGTGGTGCTGGAGACAGAGGCTAAAGAGGGGAAGCCGGAGACAGATGATGACAGTGAGACAAGTTAAATAATGTCTTGACTGAGGAGTGCAGGACAGAAATACAGGCAGTGTTTAATGGTTAATGGCACAAATTCTGGATGGAGCCAGAATGCCTGAATTTGAATACTGGCTCTAGGATTTGTTAGCTGTGTGACCTTGAACAAATTATTTAATCTCTGCCTCAATTCCCTCAACTATAAGATAGGGATAATAGCACTTATACCAGAGGTGGTTATTAGAATTATATAAATGTTAGCTCTATTATTATTATTCCCATGTTTTCTACAGCATAATATACAAAAAAAGAGATTAAGTCACTCAAGGGTAAACTGGAAGGTATTTGGAGCCCCAGATGAATTAGCTTGCTGGGTCCTCTAACATCCCAGGTCCCATTTAGCCATTCTGAAGGCTGAGGGGATCAATATCTCCTGTCGGCACAAGGATTGGGAAAGCACCATCAGTGCAGGGCAGTGGTGAGGCTGCTTGTGGAACATTAACATTTAGGTGAAGAAGTAGCAAGTGAAGAGAACTGATGGAGTCTGGATGGTAAAGGACACAGTGCTTGCTGCAAGAGATAGTAGAAGGAATGTTGAGAAATGGAAGAAACTGGAAAGTATTTTTATGTTGATGGAGCAAAATGAATAAAGGGAAAAGCTGAAGACCCAATAGAGGGAGTAAATGATGGAAAGAGATCCCTGAGCAGTAGCTGGGCACAGGTGGTAAGATTAGTTTGACAGCAGGAAGAATACAAATTACAGTGTGACAGGAATACAGGAGGAAATGACAGGTGGGATGGAGATAAGTTTGTTGAGATAGCAGAAGGAGAGGAGTTCTTGTGCAATGGCTTCTATTTTCTTTACAAAACAAAATGGGTAGTGAGCACACCAGCTGAGAGTGAGAGAAGCAGGGTAGAGTATGTTTCTGAGGAAGAGCATGGATAAGTTTTAAAACAGCCACTATAAAAATGGGAGGAAGAACTGACCAGGACCAGAGACAATGTGGGACAGCAGTGAAGGCCCAGCTGAGGTCGGAGACCATGAATATGCAGTGGCACCAACCTGCAAGACTGTGATTTTTTCCTAGCAGCACCCAGCAGTCTACAAGTGCAGAGAAGGCAGGAACACCGATCCAAGGCTAGATGTAACAGAAGGAAAAACAGGGCAAAAGCTCATGATATTGGCAAGAAAGTTGCTGAAATGATGGATCATGGTGTGTCTATGCTGGATAAGAGAAGGCAGAAAAGGGTGAAAAGACAGGGAGAAAAAAGTTTTGGAATCAGAGTCTAATACATAAGAATAAAGAAGATACGGAGTAGGACTGACTACATGGGAGCTGAAAAGATAGGAAGCTGTAGCAAAAAAATAGAAAGTGTGAATTAAAAATTTTAGAGGCAGAGCAAGTCTTGGTGATAATAAGGCCCAAACTGAGGCTACACGGAAGACTGGCTTAAAGTGGTGTGGGTCGGAGGAATTGAGGTAAAGAAAACAAGAGATTACAGTTTTGGACGAGACATCCACATTGGTCCTAAGTCACCCAGGACAATAACAAAACCAGGAAAGGAAAATGCTTAAGGGAGTAGTGTGAAATGAAACCATATGGTTTACGAAGCTATGTAACTATGGTATATGAATCTACATAGACTTGACCATACAGGATTGGCCCACAACATTGGCCTCTTATACTGAAACATCTTTATCTAAATTTGGCAAGGACTTAACACATGGATGTTGTGCTATTATGTGGCAGACTATCAACCTGTGTACTAGACCCAGCAGCTATGATATCAAGGCAGAAGCAAAGTCAAGAAGGTGTTCTTACGAGACAGCATGCTTAAATGCATCATAGGCACCGTATCCAGGTCGTTTGTACTTGTCATCAAAGACCCAGGCAGTCCTCTGGAATAGGCTTTCCAGCTGCTCGTCCTTAGTGTATTCTAACACCTCAGCAACATGACGAAGAATGCTATAAACCTAGAAACAAAATGAAGAGCTCAACAACTCAAAGATAAGAGATCTATAAAAAATAGATATTTTTACATTTTAGTAGACAGCATAATTTGAGTACCATAATTCTTTAACAACAAAAGATCTCCATATAAGTTCTTTCTCCATAGAGAAATATTCACTTTCCCATAATAATTAATTCAAGCGGGTATAACAAGTAAAACAGTACACAATTTAGGGTCTTAAGACCTGTATCAAGTCTTGACAATGGGACAAATTAACATCTCTGAATTTGTTTCTTCTGGAAAAGGGAGATACTAGCATCTCTCTTTCTTACTGAAGAGAGCTCTTGTGTAGATCAAATGTATACAAACATACACCATAAATGCAAAATTATTATACAAATGTAAGCTGTTATTATTATTCCATATGAGAGCACAGAACCAGAATTGAGATTTTAATATTTCTTTTGCTCTGTTATCATTTGACAATTATCCTTCAATCTTCCCCATCTGCCAAACTTTTCTCTAACCTTCTAAAAATAACACAGGGTTTAGAAAAGAGAAAAAATATTGAGATTTTAATATTTCTTTTGCTCTGTTATCATTTGACAATTATCCTTCAATCTTCCCCACCTGCCAAACTTTTCTCTAACCTTCTAAAAATAACACAGGGTTTAGAAAAGAGAAAAAATATTTTTTTAAAAAAGGACGTTTTCATGTTAGGTACACATGAAAATTGGGTGAGGAAAGATACTTTACTCTCTCTTTTATGGGGATTAAACAAGATATAAAAAATCTCTACATCGAACATTGTTTTTTTGGCATTTATCTTGAGGACAGAAACACATATGGCAGAAGAGAACAACAGATTCCAGAGAAGATGTCTAAACCACATTGCAGTAATAGTAAACATAACAGTAAAATAAAGAGAAAGATTTGGGTAATTTACTCTCTCTTTTATGGGGATTAAACAAGATATAAAAAATCTCTACATCGAACATTGTTTTTTTGGCATTTATCTTGAGGACAGAAACACATATGGCAGAAGAGAACAACAGATTCCAGAGAAGATGTCTAAACCACATTGCAGTAATAGTAAACATAACAGTAAAATAAAGAGAAAGATTTGGGTAATTTACTCTCTCTTTTATGGGGATTAAACAAGATATAAAAAATCTCTACATCGAACATTGTTTTTTTGGCATTTATCTTGAGGACAGAAACACATATGGCAGAAGAGAACAACAGATTCCAGAGAAGATGTCTAAACCACATTGCAGTAATAGTAAACATAACAGTAAAATAAAGAGAAAGATTTGGGTAATTTACTCTCTCTTTTATGGGGATTAAACAAGATATAAAAAATCTCTACATCGAACATTGTTTTTTTGGCATTTATCTTGAGGACAGAAACACATATGGCAGAAGAGAACAACAGATTCCAGAGAAGATGTCTAAACCACATTGCAGTAATAGTAAACATAACAGTAAAATAAAGAGAAAGATTTGGGTAATTTACTCTCTCTTTTATGGGGATTAAACAAGATATAAAAAATCTCTACATCGAACATTGTTTTTTTGGCATTTATCTTGAGGACAGAAACACATATGGCAGAAGAGAACAACAGATTCCAGAGAAGATGTCTAAACCACATTGCAGTAATAGTAAACATAACAGTAAAATAAAGAGAAAGATTTGGGTAATTTACTCTCTCTTTTATGGGGATTAAACAAGATATAAAAAATCTCTACATCGAACATTGTTTTTTTGGCATTTATCTTGAGGACAGAAACACATATGGCAGAAGAGAACAACAGATTCCAGAGAAGGGCAAAGAAAACAGGAACAGTGGAAATAATACCATTAAGAACTGAGGATCAGGGCTGGCCAGTTAGCTCAGTTGATTAACATCCGCCTTGGCCGTACAGCAGTAATATGCAGTCAGGTGATACCAATGTTGCTGGTCCAGAGAATACATTCTGAGTGGTAAAGTTCTAGATTTTATTAAAGAGATTTTAATGATATTGTTTTGAAATGTCTAAACCACATTGCAGTAATAGTAAACATATCAGTAAAATAAAGAGAAAGATTTGGGTAATGGTTTGATGGCTTTATATCTTTACTCTCTCTTTTATGGGGATTAAACAAGATATAAAAAATCTCTACATCGAACATTGTTTTTTTGGCATTTATCTTGAGGACAGAAACACATATGGCAGAAAAGAACAACAGATACCAGAGAAGGGCAAAGAAAACAGGAACAGTGGAAATAATACCATTAAGAACTGAGGATCAGGGCTGGCCAGTTAGCTCAGTTGATTAGAGTGGAGCCTTGTAACACCAAGGTCAAGGGTTCAGTTCCCCATACCGGCCAGCCAAAAAAAAAAAAAAAAAAAAAGAAGGAAGAACTAAGAATCTGGGGAATGTGGAATAATCTAAATAGGATCTGAGAACACAGAAATACAGACAGAAAAAATATGAAGACATGAAATGGGTGTTCCTGCTTTACTAGTACCTACTGCGCTTAAGTAGAAAATTATAGCAAAAATTATAAGGAAAAAATAATCCCAACACATTAGGGGGAAAAAACTAGTTAATAGGGCCCTACCTTGCTTTCCCGGATTCACAGACATTTTACCAATTCTTGTTCGTTCTTAATGTACAACAGCTGGTTGTCTTTTATCCTTATCCCAGAACAGAGTTGAAAGTCAAGAACTATGTGTTCTGACATCCCAATCAGAAAAAAGCTAAACCAGCTGAAATTACCCATAGTTAATTTAACCTAAAATGGCTTCAAACACTAATTTCCAGTACTGATTTGAGAATACTAGCCCATAAGCAATGCTTTAAGGTTGTAGCACCAAGAGATAAAAAACACTATAGTAGTACTCTTTCGAAATTAAGTCTTCAGCTTATTTTTTCACATAACACATAATTGGAAACAAAAATATAAAGTTAGAAAAAATGCAGGGTTTTTCATTTTTCTGCCAGGAACAACATACTGATTATTTATTAAACACACAAATGGTGGACTAATTTGACTCAAAAATCAACTTACAGTTTTGGATTTTGTGAATTTGTCTTCACATTTTATTGCTTCCTCTGGAGAAACTCTTCTTTTTGACAAATCAATATATCCTGTATGAGAAAATTTTGGGAAAAAATATTGTCCAGATGTCAGTGTACTACTGTAACCAGTTTTCATAACCACAGTAAGTGTATGATTAGCATACTTACAATCATTCTCCACTAAAATCATATCAACAAAATACTGCATAAGAAGTACAAGATAAAAAATTTTGTCTTCACAAATGAATTTTTATCAGGAATTGTATAATCTTTATTACCTTGGTGAGGTAACTAATAATTTTCAATTATCCAAATGAAAGCTAGCCAAACACCTCCTTTCTCTACTTCCTTCCCTGAGCTTCTGCAGAATAGGACTTCACTCTGACCTTGATTCAGTTTAAGTACTTATCCTCAACAGAAGTCACAAAGAATGGAACAAATTATCATCCCCAAATAACTACCATATCCAAGTGACCATGCAGGTGCTTTACTTAAGCATCTCACTGAACCCTCACAACAATCCTGCATGGTAGGTCATCCTCTTTCCCACAACCCCCCAAACCCCCTTTTCTTCTATTCTTGGCAGCTGGCCCATACAGGGATTGAACCCTGTACCTTGGTGTTCTCAGCACCCTGCTTTAACCCAACTAAGCTAACTGGCCAGCTCCCTGCCACCCTCCCCAACCTTTTTTTAATCTGAAGAATCTAAAACTCAACAGAAGTTAGGTAACTTGTCAGGGTCAAATAGCCAGAAAAGGGCTGAAACCCACAAACCAGTGCCTGGTCAGGACTTCCAGTACAATGCTGAATAACAGTGGAGAGAATGAATAACCTTGCCTTGTTCTCAATAATAGTGGAAAGTATGTTTGTAGCTTTTTCCTAGACACCCTTTATCAAATTAAAGAAATTTCCTTCTATTTCTAGTTTGCTGAATTTTTATCATGAATGGAAACTGAATTGTCAAATGCTTTTTTGCATCTATTAAAATGGTTATGATTTTCCTCCTATATTCTGTTAATATAAATAGATATTATTTCTGATTTTGTATATTCTTTTTCATAAAAAACTAAGCTATAATTTACATATAACAAAATTCACTTTTAGTATATAGTTATGAGATTTAACAAAAGAATAGTCATGTGACCACCACCACGATCAAGATCCACCGCCACTACTCCCCAAGCCACTATAAATAGCTGTTTACAGGTTTCTTTGTGAACACAAATTTTCATTTCACTTGGGTAAATACCTGGAAATGCAAAGATTTGTACTATCTTTTAGTTCTATTTTTCCACAAACTTTTGAAGTACCATCACATATGTTTAATTTTAATTGCCAACATGTTTCCCAAAGTGGATGTACTATTTTGATTCCCATGAGCAATGTGGAGCAGTTCTATCTGCTCCATTTCTCTGTTTTTCTTCTTGTTGTTGTTATTGTCAATCTAGTAAGCGTGTAGTGGCATCTCTGTGGCTTTAACTTACATTTTCCTAGTGACTAATGACGCTCAACATCTTTTCATGTGCACACTTGCCATCCATTTATCTTTTATGGCAATGTGTCTATTCAAATCTTTTGCTCATTTTTTAACGGGTGGTTTAGATACGGGATTTACAAGTTGTTAAATAGTTCTTTAAATATTCTGGCTTATCTTTTCATTCTCTTAACAGTGTCTTTCAAAGAACATAAGTTCTTAGTTTGATGAAGCCCAATTTATCAATTTTTCCTTTCATAAATTGTGCTTTTGGTGTTGTGTCTAAGAAATTTTTGCCTAGCCCAAGGTCAAAAAGATTTACTCCTGTTTTCTTCTAGAAGTATTATAATTTTAGATCCTACATTTAGGTCTATGATTCATTCTAAGTTAATTTTTATATGAGATGTATGAATTAAAGTTCCTTCGCACATATGGACATCCAGTTGTCCCAGCACCATTTGTTAAAAAGTTGCACTTGTACCTTTGTTGATAATCAACTGATCGTATAAAATAACCCCAACAGTATAAGTGAGAGCGTACATAAAGTTTAGATTATTATTAAACCTTCCACACATTCCACTTGGTCATACTTTATTATCCTTTTTATATATTGCAGAATTTGATAAGCATATATTTTATCATGAATTTCTGCATCTATGCTCATCACAGCTTAGGTCAGTAATTTCCTTTTGACACCAAGGTCAAGGGTTTGGATGGCTGTACTGGCCAGCCACCAAAACAGTAAATAACAATCTGTCCATTTCATCTAATTTGCTGGAGTTAGTGACATAAAGTTGGTAATAATATTCCTTTATCAGCCTTTTAATATCTGTAGCATCTGTTAGTGATAACCCTATCTCATTTCTGAAATCGGTAATCTATGCTCTCTCTTTTTTCCACCAGTATAGCTACGGGTTTATCAATTTTATTCTTTTCAAAAAAACCCAACTTTTAACTATTAACTTTCCCTTCTTTTTAAAAATTTTCTATTTCACTGATTTATTCTCTTTATTATTTCTTTCCTTCTACTTTGGGTTTACCTTCCTGTTCTTTTATCTTCTTAAAGTGAAAGCCTAGATAATTGTTTTTAGAGCTTTATTCTTTTCTAACATAAGCAATTAAAGCTATAAATTTCCCCTAAGGCCTTCCTTAATACATGAATTATGTGGAAGTGCATGTTTAATTTTGCCAATATTTTTTTTCTCCCAAGATATGATACTGATTTCAAACTTAGTTTCAATGTGACCAGAGAACACACTGTATGATTTCAATCCTTCAAAATTTATCCAGTTATATTATGGCTCAACTTAATTGTTTATCTTGGAGAACATGCATGCCATACATACTTGAAAAGAATATGTATTCTGCCTATTCTGGGTGTAGTGTTGTAACTATCAATCAGGTCAGGGTCTTTATTGATTTTTTTGTCTGGTTGTTCTATCAATTGTTCAGAGCTTGTTCAAACCTCTAACTATGATAACAGATGTCTACTTTCTCTCTTGAATCCTTTCGGTTTTTGCTTCATATAATTTGAAGCTCTATTACTAGGGACATTCAGAGCTTGTTCAAACCTCTAACTATGATAACAGATGTCTACTTTCTCTCTTGAATCCTTCGGTTTTTGCTTCATATAATTTGAAGCTCTATTACTAGGGACGTACACATTGATGACTGCTATTTTCCATCTAACAAATTGACCCTTTATCTTTACAAAATGTCCTTGTTTTACTCTAGTTAATACTCTTTGCTTTAAATCTTTTTTACCTGATATTAACAGACACTCCAGTTTCCTTATAGAAGTGTTTGCATTTTATATCTTTTTCCATCCATTTATTTACAACCAAGTATATCTCTTGTAGACAATGTTATCATTGGGTCTTGCTTTTTAATCCATTCTAACAATCTGCCTTTTTTTTTTTTTTTTGTCTTTTTTGTGACTGGTAAGGGGATCGCAACCCTTGGTGTGGTGTTGCCTGCACCACGCTCAGCCAGTGAGCGAACCGGCCATCCCTATATAGGATCCGAACCCGCGGCAGGAGCACCGCTGCGCACCCAAGCGCCGCACTCTCCCGAGTGTGCCATGGGGCCGGCCCAACAATCTGCCTTTTAATTAAAATATTTACTTAATTCAGATTTAATGTAATTATTGATATAACTGGATTCAGGCCAACTTTTGGGGGGAGGTCATGTTCAGTTTTTTTCTTACTTTTTAAAAATTTAAATAAGGAGAATTCTTCCATATGGAAAGAGCTAGTATGGGCTGGCCTGTGGCTCACTCGGGAGAGTGCAGTGCTGATAACACCAAGGCCATGGGTTCGGATCCTATATAGTGATGGCCAGTTCACTCACTGGCTGAGTGTGGTGCTGACAACACGAAGCTAAGGGTTGAGATCCCCTTACCAGTCATCTTTAAAAAAAAAAAGAAAGAAAGAGCTTGTACAATCACATATTTGAAAGGAGAAACAACAGGTGCTAAACCAAAAGGAAAGAGTGCAGCGGAAGTGTGCTATCTCACAGGCCTGGTGAATCCATGATTCCATTTCCAATCCAAGGTAAAAGTTTCCCAAAAATAATGTATATACAAACTGCACATTACACCATTAGCCATCATCTGCCCTTTAAAATGTCTGGTCTACATGAAAACACAAAGAGAGGAAAGGCCAAAGTAAAAACAAAAGGCAACAAAAACACAACCCTCTCAAGAACAAAACAAAATCCCCCAAATCCTTTTTACTATGCAAGGTATGAAGTTAAAAGCTTTAGAGTACAGTATCCCCTTTAAACAATGGAAAAAATCATCCAAACAGAGCCTTCATAGGAATTTCCACTCCGAGGCTTTGTAACATGCTGATGACAGCGCCCTGGGGATGCTGCTACCATCCTGGAGGCCACCAAACTGGGGTGAAGAAATGGTAAACAGCAGATCTTATGCAATGGGAAGGTCACTAGCAAAATACGCACTGGTGGCCTGGTAGGGAGAGTGCCTGGGTGACTTGACAGCATCCATGCCCAACACTGAGCCACTCTGATCCCGCATGACTTACTTGTCTTAGGCCCATCTCACACTCAGAGCATTGACCTTACGGTTGGTCAATGATGAAGTCTGTGACTCTCTGATGCTCAGAGCTGAGGAGGATGATGAGTGTGTGCACCAAGTGCCCAATGAGGCAGTGTTTGGCAATTCTGGAAAAGCCCCATTTCCCTGCTGTTTGGTTCCCCTCCGCCAACCAGCTGCATACTGCTTCTGAAATCTTTATTTGTCCCTTTTCCCTTCCTACAGAGCAAGCCTGGTTGGAAGGTCTGCTGGAAACTACCTTTGACAACTAAGAATTCCAGAGTGTGTGTACTTTGTCAGGTCTACTTTTCAAGTACTTTTCTTTCTGTTCCCTTTCCTGACTTCTTTGAAGTTAACTTAATATTTTTTAGAACTCCATTTTAATTTGTCTTTGACTTTTTGGTTACTCCTCTTTGTATTTCTTAGTGATTGTTCTAGGATTACAATTATACATCCTTAACTATTTAAGTTAATATTGTTCTACTGCACATAAAATATAAGAATCATACAGATCTTTTTACCACCCCACCTCCTGGGCTTTGTGCTTTAGTTTTCAAATGCATCATGTCTGCTTTAAACAGTGTCTGTGTTTTCTTAGATTCTATATTTGTCTATTTGGCATCCATTAATCACAGAGCCAACTGTATTAACTATACATTCTTATTTTCTATATTCTTGAGGATCTGTGGCCTCACTGACTGGGGAGAGACTGCCCCTCCCAGGGGAAGAATTAGCAAAGGACTTGCTTGGGCATATGCCTTTCATAAGCAAACTAACCAATCTAGAGCTCACAAACTCATACACTAAGCCAATATTTCCCAGCCCTAAATTAACTCAGGGGCAGGTACCAGACAACTAGGGATAGCCTTTAAGCTTCAAGGCCTGCCAAAATCATTCAAACTAGCCAATCCTAAACTGTTTACCCGTCCTGCCTTGCTTTTTCTGCAGAAACCCCCATAAAAGCTATGGCCTAGTCTTTCCCCTAGCTCCTTCTGCCTCCTGACTAAAACTGGTGCTTCCCCAAGTGGCCCTGTATGGCATGGCATGCCACCTTCTCTCAGAAAATGTAAATAATAAAAATTTTCTTTCAATGGCACTGGCCTCTCTGTTATTCTCAGTCACCTCCATAAATTAAAATTCCTCATGTACAAATGAGACAAACAGTTAAATATATTTTATTGTTTTAGCAGTTAACTTGTCTGAACTCAAAACTATAAGCTCTGTCTTCCCAGGTGGGAAGCAACTGAAATCTGTTCAGATTTTTACCCTGAGTCTACCACGTATGTCAGTGGTTCAAGCGTCAGCCAGAGATTTGGGCAGAATTTATATATAGACTTAGGGGCCCTTTCTTTGGGCTCTCTCCTTTCTGTAATCCCTACTGCCACCATCACCACCACTTTCCACTTGCTGTGATTATACAGAACTCTCATCTCTGGTTCTCAAGCCAGTAAGATTGCTGGTTTTCCACTAGAACTTTAGCTGTCCTGCTTGAAGCTGTCTTCAGCATGCACTTAGGCAAAGAAGCCATAAAACAGAAAACGTGTCCAGTGCAGTTCTTTTCTTCCAAGTGTCGACTCACCTTCAGTTTTTTTTTTTTTCCTTTTTGTCTTTTTTACTGACCGGTAACGGGATCGCAACCCTCGGTGTTGCGCCCGTACCGGGGACCGGCAACGGGATCGCAACCCTCAGTGTTGCGCCCCCACCACGCTCAGCCAGTGAGCGGGAACCGGTCTCCACATGGGATCCAAACCCTCAGCGGGAGTGCCGCCGCGCTCCCAAGCGGCGCACTCTCCAGTGCACCACCAGGCCGGCCCTCACCTTCAGTTTTGACCTGCTTTTGGTCGCTCCTCATTGTCTTTAGGTAGTTATTTTTATATTTGTTCAGGGTTTATAGCTATAACATTGAAAGTTTTGTCCAGTAGAACCTAACCCCCTAGTATAAAAAATGGATCCCCTTTATAGGCTCTTTCACACTTTACTTTTTTTCTTATCCTACCCCGAAGACCCTCCCACATCAGAATATTCAGATCTCATTCTACATAAAATTGCACTGCTTGGATGTGCCATGATTTATTTAACCAGTCTTCATTTTGATTGTTTCTTGATTTTAATTAATACTGTACAAACAAATACTGCTATGGAAATATTTTTACATGTATCTATTATGTTTATGCAAGTATACCTTTCTATTTCTTTGATTGCAGCTGAAAATATATTTGATTCTTTCTTTTGTATATACAAGAGGTCTTCAAAAAGTTCATGGAAAGATTTGCATTATGTTTTAATTCTATTTTCCACAAACTTTTTGAAGTACCCTCATATTTTATATAACAGAAAAAGAAATACAAAAGAAAACACCATTCTAAGTACTACTGGGACAGTGATGTGAAGACTTACACAAGTTTAAGGAATAGTCTCAGTCTTCAAGTAGTTTAATAATTTTTGTGTCAGGGGGCTACAGTAAGTCATAGCAAAATACTTAGAACAATCAATGTGTGAAGTGGTAGTCACTACCTAAGAGATAATATAAGACATACTCAAGGTATATCATCTAAGATTATAATCAGAAAAAAATTAAAATGTCAAGTATGTGTAAGATGAAGCCCTTGCAGAAATGAGAAAATATCAGTAAAGTAGATGGCTGAGGAGATTTAGATGGACAAGTTCAATCAAGGTGACTGGGATGCAGTCTTTCAAGCATGATGGTAACTACTTACCTGAAACTAACACCTAATAAATTGGGTAAGATGGCTGAAACCAAATCCTACTTAATAACACTGTACAATGTGTTTTTTTTAAAACAAATGCATTCATGAGGTAATGATTTACATGGAGCCCAGGAAAAAGGCACCCAATGAGTAAAAAATGAATATTAATCCAGCACTGTCTAAAAGATCCCACAGGATCTGGGGGACACAGACATTCTAATTACCAGAGACATACAATACTGGATTTTAGGTGTGTGTGCACATACATAGTATGTTGCTTTTTCTAAACTTATATAAAATATTCCTAAAACCCATTTCCTTTTGCCCCATTTCCATGCTCACCCAGTAATCTGATTACTAATTTAGTTTTAAGTGAAGAAAAAGGTATCCAACACATTCAGGTTTACCAGCATAAATGAATGAATATGTACTCTGGTTTACTTACATGTCTTTTGAGTTTGGTTACCATGAGTCAATTACTAAGATCCTGATAAACAATAGGAATAAAATTCAAGTTATTTGACCCACAAAAAATAACCATGGGATGTACTACTTATATTACATAAGAAGTCTTGCTTAGATAGCTACTTGGCATCCTTCTCTGACAACTTTAAAAGTATAAAAGGAGTTTTTTAAAAAAAATAGCAGTAAATAATTTATAAAATATATATATATGTATTTTTTCTTTCCCCTGGCCCTGTTCTGTGAGAACCAAAAAATATATTTGTAAGTAAACCATTTCAATTCTGAAATTTATATTTTATTTATTTTATTTTATTTTTTGGTGGTTGGCCCATACAAGGATCCAAACCCTTGACCTTGGTGTTATAACATCACATTCTAACCAAATGAGCTAACCAGTCAGCCCTGAAATTTGTATTTCAGGTATTTTTCTCACTTACCCTTTTCTTTGTCCACTCTAATGACAACCACACATTCATTCCTGCCAATCCGGATAAGTTTGTTTATAGAACGGATACGCCTTCTGGACAACTCACTAAGAAGAATCATGCCTTCAATGTTGTTATATTCCAGCAAGCTGACATAAGCCCCCATTTCGGCAATGGATCTCACGTTCACCATCACTACATCTTCCACCTCAGGAAATTTGTGTTGGTAAAATCTACAACTTAGACCTGGCATTCTGCAATTTAAATGAAAGAATCAAATGAGTGTTCAGTTAAAGTCAAAATATATAAACATCAGTCAATTTCCCACATCTTGCCAGAGACCAATAAAAGATAAAGAAAAACGTAGTTATTAGTGTTCTCATCTCTTTGAACCTCTTAAATGGTACCAGAAAATAGATGGATGCTCAGAAACCAAGCTTTAATTTTTATTTTGCTCGATATTTTTGTAAGGCTTGAGTGATTCTCTGCCATCAGTTTTAGAGGAATCATAAAAAATAATGACCATCTATAAAGTACTCTGAAACCTAAGGATTAAAGGAATACCTCAAGAGTAAAATACTAATACTACCATTTTAAGGAATATCAAATGATGGGAAGCATCACTACCTATTATAATCTATCAGCAAAATTAAAGCTACTCTTTCTCTAAGTCAGCTAAGACCATATATGCTACCACCCACTATATAAAGTGTAGAATTTTCTGAATACCCAAACCTTAACCAATATGACATATCCTATCATTTATTATAGCCAAAAATTACAATATCACATGTCAAGTAGACAAAACCCAAGAATATTAATCACAAAATATACTAAAATTAATTAAAATGTATCCTCCTCTCATATTTTTTCCTTTTAAAACAAACAAATTTATTTCACCATTACCGTAATTTCTAGCTTCTATTCTTATTACTCCCAAAAAACCTATTCTTTTGTTGAACAGGTATACTTAACCTTGAGAATAGCTTAATAAATCTCCATTACTATAAGGTTCAAGTTTCTCTTAACCTCCAAGCATCAAAAATATTTAAAACTATTCCCTTTGATCCACCCAACCTACTTTCAGCACCACCCCTTTCTTTTATGACCCATAAGCCTGAAATCATACCATGGGTAAAGTATATTTTAAAAAGGAAGCTCTCAAACTAATCATGGCTAATGGTATTCATGTTTTTCTGTTAACCTTAACCTATTTACTGTTGTCAGCACTCAGAATACCATTAGGTAGTAGCAGACCTAAAGGCCTATGAAAAATTTGTGAAAACTCATTTACTAACTTATTTTTTCTCATTAATTGTAAAATAAAGCCATCACTACTTGACCTTAAGAGGTAAACCATCTATATCCACCTCATGGTACACCAAGAGTTCTGCTCTACTGCAGTGAGAACTGCCAACTGGCACCCACATATATTTTCCCAGTAGCTTCCTATTGACTTATACAAGTGGTCTTCAAAAAGCTCTTGGAATGATTCATATTATCTTTTAATTCTTTTACTCCGTGAACTTTTTGAAATACCCTTGTACATCTTTCCACTACCTATAGGGTCCTATATGATTTGGCCACTACCTCTCTAGTTTTCCCTATTTTAGAACAAGCACAGGTTAAGCAACTTGTTCTTTCACATATTGCTAACAAGAGATAAGACTAAGGATTTGAAGCCATGAAGTTTGGATCCAGAGTCTGTGCTCTTATCAACCAAGCTACATTTTCTTTCAATATTATTGATAAACATATTATAATTAGAAACATCTTAAAAAGCAACAATATAAATATTCAGGGCTGGAACATATACCACAAATCAGTGCAAACTATTAGTCTAATCTATCCTGTTTAACAACAACAAAAAGCAGCGTATTAATGACAGTGGTAGAGATATACTTCTCTTGTAGGTCAACAAAACAGGGATCTAGGAAAAAAAGAGAAGTAGACATTCAATGGCCAGAATCACCCACCCAAGAAACAGCTGAGCTGGCTGTTTTATTTTTAACAGGGCTTTTACTGGGGTTGGAGGGTTTCAGGGAGGACAACTGTTGCTGAATATCTGTATGTAAAGTACTCAAATTTGCAAAAAAAGTTTCAAAATGGGTATCAGAATAAATGATGTCACAGAAATGTGTGGAGCAGTTTCTAAGAGATTTAACACATGCTGACTACATTTACTTACCAAGTTTCTTCAAATACTAAAGGTGATGCTTTGGGGGAAGGTTACAGAACACAGGCAATAGTATAAAAGAATCCTGAAGGGAGCTATGAATACTACTTCTTTAGGAGGCATAAGTGTTTTTGCAATATATAGGGTAAATAAGGAATACTGTTGATGGTATGTTACTCACAATAAAGACAGCACATAGCCAGTAAGTACAAAAAAATCCATATCATAAAGGTTTTTGCAATATATAGGGTAAATAAGGAATACTGTTGATGGTATGTTACTCACAATAAAGATAGCACATAGCCAGTAAGTACAAAAAAATCCATATCATAAAGAATCTGCATATTGGTTGAAAGATTTCAAACATGTTGCCTTATGAAATGCGAATTATTTATTTATTTTTAAAGATGACTGGTAAGGGGATCTTAACCCTTGGCTTGGTGTTGTCAGCACCATGCTCAGCCAGTGAGCGAACCGGTCATCCCTATATAGGATCCGAACCTGTGGCCTTGGTGTTATCAGTACTGCACTCTCCCGAGTGAGTCACAGGCCAGCCCTTAAATAAATTTTTTAAAAACTTTTTTGTATTAGTCAGGAAAACAGAAACCACACTAGGCATTTATTCAGTGTTTTCTATCATTTTCAAAACATTTTGACTTATTTATTGGCTCTCGACAAGTGTCAAATCAGGTAAGCAGCATGGAGAACTTTGGGAATAGCCCTAGACTCGGGTTCCAGTCCTTGCTCTCCTACTTACTATCTGTGGGTGCCTGGGAAAGGTACCCCCTTTGAACTCTGGTTTCTTGCCTGAGCCACGTACCTCACAGGTTTGTTGAGGGTACCAAATAAAATAAATGTACAAACATTTTAAAAAGCGTAATGTGCTATACACAAACAAGATATTCAACAGCAAAGGAGGTATTACTTCCACTTTGCAATTTAATTCATTGACAATTTTTTTTTTTTGCAGTATCTCCTATGTACTAAGCACTACTAATACAAGAAAGACACTTATCTAAGGAATTAAGTATAGAGTGGGAAACAAACTAGTAAGCAAATAATTACAATATAATGTGCTATGAAAGGAACACAGTGATTCAATCAATTAACAAGGAACCGAGGAACAGAAACATTAAATAACTTCCTCAGGAGAAATACTTAATAAGTAACAGAGCAGGAGCTAAACCCAAGTCCTCTGACATTAAATCCAGAGTGTCTTTAACCCACAGAGCCTCAGTATCTCACAGAGCACCATAACACTATTCATTCATCTTTCAAAATATATTAACCAAACTCCAAGCTAATTTCAAATACCCTGCCAGTAATTTTGCCTGGATAAATGGTAGGTAGGACTTCTTAAGCTAGTCACATGGTCAGGTCACCATAAAAAATACAGAAAGTCCACATTCCTTTACAAAGTAAAGTGTATTATGTCATGACGACAACTATTGTAATAATTCTAATTTGGCTCTAACACCAGTATTGCTCTCTGAATGCTAGTTCTTGGTATAGGAATGCTACACAACTTTTTTTTTTTTTTTTTTTAAAGATGACCGGAAAGGGGATCTTAACCCTTGACTTGGTGTTGTCAACCCCATGCTCAACCAGTGAGCTAACCGGCCATCCCTATATAGGATCCGAACCCGGGGCCTTGGTGTTCTCAGCACCACACTCTCCCAAGTGAGCCACGGGACGGCCCCAAATAAAACTTTTAAACTATTTGATTACACAGTAGTTGAAATAGGAAATACTATCAAATCTCCACAAACACTGCTGTGCATCAGACAACTACATCTTTTGAGAATCAGTAACTGTCATTTGGCATAAGACGAGCGAAGAATAGGTAGTAAAGTTCTATAAAAATAATTTCCAAACTGTTGAAAGACAAAGAGAAGTTCTTTTCCTTGAATAACAACTCAATTGGTAGAAAATCATGACTCCTCTGCTACACCTTTTCTCCAAGAAAGTGTTTCTTGTTTAATGAAAATTAAAGCAGCCTAAGTTTGGAGGATAAAGGAACCCCAGGATGAATATCTACTTAACCCTAAAATACTCCCTTAACTTAGGCTTTCAGCTATACTTAATTGTAAGACCACAGTTCTATATTCACTGTTGTCAAAATACGGCAAACCGATACTAGCAGTAATAAACTCCTTAATAGTATGATTTAGTTTCTATTCAAGGGGTGCCTCATCCTACAGAAATACACAACTAGAACGATAAGGTAATTTGAGCTCAATTTTCAAAAACCGGTTATCAGATGAATAAACTATTCTCAGACCCAGCTGTTTTCAAGAGTGGCTTATCCCACTGATTCCGGAGAAGAGTCCATTCTCGTTTACAGTCAGAGGCAGGGGAAATTTTGGGTAGTACTCCTGGGGCGAGAAGAAAAAAAAAAAGATGGAATTCTCGGGCTCGGAAAAAGCAAAGTGCTCAGCGTCCTTGGCCCAGGGTGGGAGTAGGGTGTCACAATATTTTCCCGAGGCCGCCCCACCTTAAAGTATCCTCATTTTAAGCATATTGAAGAGTCTGTACAATCCACTTGTCCCACTTTCCTTCACGACATTCCTCCGCTTGTACAGTGATGCCTCTGGAACACAGGATGACCGACAAGGAGCCGGCGAGGAGGCCCATGACAGAGCCAGCGGAGGTGGCAGTGGTGTCCAGACACTTCCCGCGCAGGAAAGGGAAAGGGAGGTGTTAGCCCAGGGCCTACCCTCGCTTGACCACCCATGTCACTGGACACTAACCAAAGTGAGTTCCTGAAGAAACAGAACTGCAGGATTCATACCTGACGTTTGTGTGTGAATCCCGCACTGGGGTCCCTCGTCGCGCTGTAACCGGAAAGATCAGACTAGATCAAGCCGCACCAGCCACCGATCTTCCTCAGCGTGCGCTTCGCTCAACCCCACCGCGCATGCGGAACCACCTCGCGCAAGCGCCGACAGAAGAGGCGCCTCTTCACCACTGATCATAGAGTCTGGGTCCTCCGAAAACTAGGGAAAAACGTGTATCAAAGGACCTCCAAAGTACGTTCTCTCGCTGCCTTTAGTTTTCGTTAAGTAAACTTCAAGGCGTGGAGCCGAGGTAGGACTCTAATTCTTAGTCTCCGGAGAATAAATCCTCTTCGAAGTTTTAGTCAACCATGAGATGGCGCTGTGACTAAAGAGAAAAGTGAAAGAAGAGAAGGAGTGTACTCTTCTCATCTCTTCTTCCTCCCGGCGCGTGCAGCGCCTGGCACAGCCGCCGAGGAGCCGAAGAGGGAGGGAGTTGGAAGGCGAACCGAATTGACAGGCGATTCCGCGGTGCGCGCGCCTAACATCCGGGCATCGCCTTCATCCGGTCCTCCCCTCCCTCTGCTGTGACAACAGGAAGCGGAAGTAAAAATTGGGTATCTCGGCTGCCTCTTAGCAATGTGAGGGGTCAAGTGACATAACCAGCTGACTCCAATAGAGGAAGGGACTGTGGCGGCTGGGAGGGGAGCTGTTGCAACCACGACTGCCCGGCCGGGGACCCGAGCCGAACTGTCATCATCAGAATGTCGGGCAAAGACCGAATCGAAATCTTCCCCTCGCGAATGTAAGTAAAAGAATGTCCCTCCATTCCCTGCACCACCAGCGAGGTTCCTCGATTCCTGGGCGGATCCTGCGCTTTCCCCAGGCTCTTTTCGTGAGTCTGGGGCGAGGCTCCCTGACGGCCCCTTCACACATTCCTCCTGAGTGAACCGACCTGGACAGAGCTATCCCAGCTCACAGCAGAAGGCGCCGGGCCTGCTGGCTTTTGCGGGGGTCCGCTGCCTTTACTCAGTCATTCCACATACCCTTACAATTGATCCGGGCACTGAATTTGTATAACTGAACCGTCGCTACCCCTGCCCTCACAGAGCTTTCGGTTCAGTGGAGAGACAGAAAAGCCAACGAGGTTTGATAAATGCTCTGAGAAGAGAAGTGTACTGCGATGGGAAGCATGCAGAAGAGGTTCTTAAGCCAGAGTGGGGATTGAATCGAATCGCCCTAGCATGTTCCTCGGATTCACTCTTGGATCCCCTTACTGATTTTCCACGATCCGGTCAAACGTCACCTGCTGTGGGAAGATATCTCTGCGTTTCTCAGGCACTCCTTTCTCTAGCTCAGACCTCTATTAATATGTCATCACATTGTAAAGTGGGTATTTGTTTACGTATTTTTTCTTTCCCGCTAGACTGTGGCTCTCTCAAGGATTGAGTTTTTTGATTATTAATCCACGGAAGGTCCACAAAAAATGTTCCTTGAATGCCTTGGAATCTGCTCAGTTGTGGGCTATCTTTCTCTTTTGGCCTGAATTCTTTGTCAAGAGAAATGGCTTCTTAGCTGTTTGGCCAATTTGTGAAGAGAATTTTGAAGTTTTCGCAAATGTGCCTAACAACTTGTGGAGAGTAAAGATTGTTTCTCTTTTGGCCTGAATTCTTTGTCAAGAGAAATGGCTTCTTAGCTGTTTGGCCAATTTGTAAAGAGAATTTTGAAGTTTTCGCAAATGTGCCTAACAACTTGCGGAGAGTAAAGATTGTTCCTATTTGTGCTCTTCTCTTTCTCTTCTTTTTTTATTCAGTGAGGAAGCAGAAAATCAGTTTTGATTGTGACATTTAGATCTTTTCATTGTGGTCCTCTCTTCGGCGTCAGTGTTGTTTTTCCTCGTCCTATCCTTTTTCTCAGAGAATCTGAGGATACTAAAAATAAAACAGTTCTATCCAAACCCCAAACCCAGATTTCTGGCTCTGATGGGGTGACTACAGCTCTTAATGAAAGTAAAGAGTTTTAAAATTTTTTTTTTACCTTCACCTACTGACTTTCCAATAGCTGTTTCTGCCAGGTAGGAAGCAAGCTAGTTGTGAAGAAAGACAATACCTTTGAAATAGATAAGGATCAGGATTACCCAGGGGTGGTGAGAATTGCATAACTCACAGCACATAATGACTCCATCCAAACCTCTGCACTGAGAGTCCCTAGGATGTTCCTGACCTCTATTAAAATGCCTGTCTGAAAAAGCTCAAAACTGCCAGGAGAGTTTACTATTTGTTCTAGCCATTACCTGATAGATAGACCCTTGACCTCCCTTTCTTAGAGCATTTACTAAAATGGGCTTACAATTGTGAATATGTATCTCTTACAACTCGGAAGTGCCTCTCTCAAGGACCTGAGAGCCAATCAATTCCTTTTGAAATTTAATCACCAGGAAGGACAGGGCTTCTGTCTCCCAGTCTCTTTGGAAGGATAGAATCCTAATTTGAATAATTGCCAACCAGCAGACACACCTGGCCTAACATTACCAACCTTTTGTAATTTTTCATTTCCCTGACTACTTGAGGCCCGCTCCCCTCAGCAATCCCTCATTCTCTCTTTAAAAGGCCCAATCACCTCTGCAAATATCAGAATGGAGTTGAGCTCTTTCCCCTACTGTCAGTGGTTACCAAATGGAATCTGTTTTCACTGCTTTAACTAATGTCTGGCTGTATTTATCTTCGATAGTAGTCAGAATGTTAACATTTTTTTTTTGTCGTTTTTACTTTGGAACTTTTACCTTGAGAATAAGAGGCGAAAGTGGACAAGAAAAAATGATAGGTTTGTGAAGGTGAGAACTGCTATTTGAGAGCACTTAGTTTGCAGATTGAGAGGAAAATCAGATACGGAAAGTAACTGCTTCTCTAAATATCTTTCCTAAGGCCTAATAGCAGGTTCTTTGTCATGTAGTCAGATGTCTTTGATTCAGCTGGAAACAGTCATCCTCCTAGCTGAAGGCCCAACTTTTTTCATAGGGCTGTACAGCTCAGAAACATAAAGGAACAGGTTTTAAAAGTCCTAGAATATACTTCTAGCCTAGGACTTCTATTTCACAGACAGTTCCACTTTGTAGTGTTATCCTGTGAATTGTTGCTTTCACCCATTTTTGCCAGTTATGAATGGAAGATTTGAAGTCAACAGAAGTCAGTCAAATCCAGGTTTCATACTAGTTTTAAGTGCTTGGGCAAGTCATTCTGAGAGTCTTAAGAATTAGAATTTACCCATTTCACAGAGGTGCCATCACCTAGGAGGAAATTAAAATTAGCATGGTAAATTCACTTTATCAACCAGTTCACTTTTATATTACGAACTTGCTGGAATCTGTAGTACTAGGATTTGATTTAAATTTTATCCAACTCTTTGAGCCCAAATACTGGTATTTAGTATCAACAATACAGTATATTAAATGTACACATTAGGGTGGATAGCTCCTGCTCAAGCTGGAAACCGAACCAGATGCACTTGATTAGACCTCTGGTGAGGCCAGTCGGTGCGAAGTTAGCCACTGATAGCCAGCTTTTCAAAGAGACATCATTTATCTGCTGCTCCTTGTCATCTTTACGGGGAGGAAATCTTTAAGTGGTTGGGTACAGTGGACTGACCTAGGTTTGAGCCTTGGGGAACTCATTGGAGTCAGAAATCTGGTTCAAGTTCCCACTCTGCCTTTCCTTCACTGAGTGACTGTGAGAAAGTTATTTTACTTTTCTGAGCCTCATTTTCCTAATCTTTAATGTGTAAAGTCTCTTCCAGATATAGAAGTGTCTCAGTAACTTTAGCCCTATGGTAAAAGATTTCAGTATAATCTAAGAAGTTGGCCAAAAGTTTCACTAATACATGCAATTTTGTAGTTACCTGAAATTATATTCCCTTAAACAAATTGCTGTGTCTCAGTTATACAATCTATTGTTGGATTTTATTATCCAAACACTTGTTTTTTCATTATTAAATTTTATCTGGCATATGGGAACAAGAACAGAAATGTCAATTTCTGCTCTTGCTTGTCTGACTTTGGTATTGGGGCTTCTGATGGGGAACGTGTAAGTTTAGCTCATCACTTCTCAGGAGTCTTATATATGTTACTTGTTACCCAGAGTCACATACAAATTAATAAAATGATTGGTATTAGGGTCTTGATTGATGAAATCCAAATATTTTAATGCTACACTTTTAACAGAAAATGTAATAAATGGTTGTGGTATAAAATGCAAAAGGTGGGGCTGGACAGTGAGCTCACTTGGTTAAAGTGTAGTGCTGGTAACACCAAGGTCAGGGGTTTGGGTTTGCCAAAAAAACAAACAAAAAATGCAAAACATACAAAAGAATATACTGTACTAGTAAAAAGTAAATCTATATTTTTCACCCTGACCCATTTCCCAAAGGAAACTGTTGCCAATTTCTGTGAAACCTTTCGAGAACTATTCTCTGC